CCTCCTGGGCCGGCACTCGGCAAAGCCCACTTTGCCGAGTGCCCCCATGGCACTCGGCAAAAAAAATTTAATTTTGGGCCCAAATTTTTTTCTAGGGCCTTGTGACAGTATTTCAAACTCTATTTTAAAATTTGGGGAAATTTTGACTTTTTTTGATATATTTCATTAGTTTATTTCGTTTCGTCAAATTTTTCAGGATATTTCAAATTTGAACTGCAGGTACATGGAATAATGGACTTTGGTCATCCAAAAATTAATACTCATGATATTTAGGGTATGTTTAGGCCGTATCCAGGAACTCACATGAAATCTCGAGCATCTCGTTGACGTAACATGTCGAGGTACTTGCCGGAAATGTGATTTTAAATTATATAAAATGCAAACGAAGTTCAAAAATCACGAAACTTGTCGAGGCGTCGTGTTATCACATGTGGAGGCTGTGGTAAAAAATTGTGAAGGTTTCGAGCAAGTTGTTACGTCGGATGCCAAAAACCCAGACAAGGCTCATCTATGCAAGGTGGAAACAACAAAAATCATTGCTCTAACTTCTCGGTAAGTGATGAATGAAATTGAAGTTAAGAAGCTTAATAAGGGGTAGTAAGATCTTTTATCTTGTTTGCTAATTTATCCTAAACTTTCTAGAAATAATCTATTGTTTCATCTAGGGACAGAGGGAGTATCTAACTGTTATGAAGCTCATAACTACGGAGTATATGATTAGGATCACATGCAAATTGAAAGACAACAACATGTAAAGAGGCTGGAGATAGCTAGCTAGAAATATATTTGTGGATGTCCCGGGTAACTGGGTTTCACATTAATTATGTACTTGCAGGCAATCTTTTTTTTATTCAACTTGCAGGCAATCTTAGCAAGGTGAAAAATAGGCATCTTGATCATTAGTTGGTAGTAGTCAAAAAGATGATGATGTTGTGGAAGCATCATAGGATGACGGCGGCCGTGTGACTGGGACTGATATAGTGGTAGTAGATATCTAGAGATGGCAGGTACATGGTTTGTTTTAATATTTACACAAGCTAAATTCGTGCACTATGCAGATTCTCAATAGAAATTAGAAAACAACAACAAACTAAAAAATTATCAACGTTTAATTTGATCTGCAATGCAACTTGGTTCTGCTGACTTTATTTGACAAGTGATTCTGTCATCACAAAATATTCTAGATCAGCCACTTTGCGCACAAAAAGACACAACGATCAGCCACTTTGCGCACGAAAAGACACAACGATCAACGATCAGCTACTTTGCGCACGAAAAGACACAACGATCAACGATCAGGTACTTTGCGCACAAAAAGACACGCCGATCCGCTCCTTCCCATTATAAAAGAAGCCACGCGTTCGGCAGCGCACACCCACCCACCACACACCCCTCTTCAGCCCCAGGCTCCAGCACCGTCCGCAGGCCCGCACGAATGGCCAACCAAGGAGAGCTGCTGCCTAATCGCGCCGTCGTCCAAGCACAGGCAGGCCACCGCGACCACCTCCTCGACGCCGCACGCGCGCTGATGCTGCTAGGAGCAGCCGCCGCCGTCTCAACCTCAACCGACGCTGACGCCGCGTGGGTCTTCCTCGGTCTCGTCACCTGGCTGCTGGGCGTGTGCCTCCTTTCTTTGGTGCCAGTTGCAGGTCGGTTCCCACAAGCTGATCGTTTGGCCGGCGCTGCCATTGCCAACGCCGGCGCCGTCGTCAGGCGCTTCTTTATCCCATGGAACTAGCTTTATTATGTTGCATGCGCGCAAGTGAAGAGGCGGTGGTGGTACGTACGTGTACGTTCTAGCGTGCTTTGTTATGTTGGTCAATAAGGATGATCTAGATACCCATTATTTACTTTCGTCGTTTCCCTTTCGAAGCATGTATGTTTGTTCGGGTACTAGTATTTTTTTTTGAAACTTCGGGTATTAGTATTTGGTCAAACTTGTAGCTTGACTGCGTCTGCGTGAGTGATCAAATTGCTGTTCCCTGTGCGTGTTAATGTTAAATGGGCTGTACCATATAGTGTGTATATATATATGTTGGGCCGGACGCTGGTGCTTTCTTCAGTCCAGCAGGTCCCATGATTTGAACATAGGCCTCAGTTTCGCCGGCCCGATCGATCAATCCAGACTAGGTGATGTTCAGTCAGTCAGGCGTTAGCAGGAGAACAGGCCTGTGTGGAAACTAAAGTCCATCCTAGTTTGCGACCACGCCCCTCCCTATTTTTTTTTTGGGGGAACACGCCCTGGGCAGTCACTACACTATTTTTGGCGTGGGGTGTCGGACTGGGCTTCCCTCCATATATCTATGAAACTTCACTATTTTCCCATCCCCTCCTGAATTCTTTTTCGGGAGATTCTTTTTTCACCCCCTGGAATGAAACTTCACTATTTTCCCATCCCCTCCTGGATTCTTTTTCGGGAGATTCTTTTTTCACCCCCTGGAATGAAACTTCACTATTTTCACACGCTTTGCTACCTTTTATTTCATCTACCCTACTAATACATCATCTTTTCTTTCCTACGTCCACACAAGAAAATAAACCCCCGCTGAGATGTCCCCTCTAAGTCCACCCAAAAAATATACCCAGGAAAACAACACATTTCAAACGAACCGTCCAGATACACTTTAAACCTTCTCTCTTCTTACTCGTTACACAATCGAGCATCCAATACGCTTTGCGCACAAATGAGCATCCGATACGCTCCTTCCCATTATAAAAAGAAGCGCACACCCCTCTTCAGCCCCGCACACCCACCCAGCACACAACCCTCTTCAGCCCCAGGCTCCAGCACCGTCCGCAGGCCCGCACGAATGGCCAACCAAGGAGAGCTGCTGCCTAATCGCGCCGTCGTCGTCCAAGCACAGGCAGGCCACCGCGACCACCTCCTCGACGCCGCACGCGCGCTGATGCTGGTAGGAGCAGCCGCCGCCGTCTCAACCTCAACCGACGCTGACGCCGCGTGGGTCTTCCTCGCTCTCGTCACCTGGATGCTGGGCGTGTGCCTCCTTTCTTTGGTGCCAGTGGCAGGTCGGTTCCCACAAGCTGATCGTTTGGCCGGCGCTGCCATTGCCAACGCCGGCGCCGTCATCAGGCGCTTCTTTATCCCATGGAACTAGCTTTATTATGTTGCATGCGCGCAAGTGAAGAGGCGGTGGTGGTACGTACGTGTACGTTCTTTATTATGTTGGTCAATAAGGATGGGATGATCTAGATATCCATTATTTACTTTCGTCGTTTCCCTTTCGAAGCATGTATGTTTGTTCGGGTACTAGTATTTTTTTTTTTTTGAAACTTCGGGTATTAGTATTTGGTCAAACTTGTAGCGTGAGTGATCAAATTGCTGTTCCCTGTGCGTGTTAATGTTAAATGGGCTGTACCATATAGTGTGTATATATATATATGTTGGGCCGGACGCTGGTGCTTTCTTCAGTCCAGCAGGTCCCATGATTTGAACATAGGCCTCAGTTTCGCCGGCCCGATCGATCTATCCATACTAGGTGAGATTCAGTCAGTCAGGCGTTAGCAGGAGAACAGGCCTGTGTGGAAATTAAAGTCCATCCTAGTTTGCCGACCACGCCCCTCACTATTTTTTTTTTTTTTGGGAACACGCCCCTCCCTATTGGCTGGGCAGTCACTACACTATTCTGGCGTGGGGTGTTGGACTGGCCTTCCCTCCATCGTATTCCACAGCAGCGCTTGTTCTGGAGTAGTGTATGTATATATACCTCCGTGTCCACTTGTTGCTGTGCCTGGTCACGAGCGAGCGAGATCTGCAAGATGGTTGGTCTATGCGAAATTATTTTCTAGCCGCCACGCCTTCTGTTGACGGCGACAGGCGACTTGATGATATTTAAACTCTGGTCCATGTTTCTGATCTAGTAATATAAGAGAGCGCTGGCTACCATTCATGTCCATGGCCACGACCCACCATGCTTCTCCTACCTAGCTAGCTCCGCCGGCCGATCCCCTCATCAGGTCAACACGCCGGCGGCCCGTGCTCTGCCGCCGCGCCGCCGTCCGCTATGATGATTCGTATCGTGATCATGCTCGGCATCTACATGTACATGTACGTCGCTCTTGTCTTTTGTTCGTTGCTGATGATAAACTTATTCACTGTGTTGCAGCGTGTTCTTCTTTTTCCCATCCCCTCTTGGATTCTTTTTCGGGAGATTCTTTTTTCACCCCCTGGAATGAAACTTCACTATTTTCACACGCTTTGCTACCTTTTATTTCATGTTTGCCTAATCCATGCATGATGATATGCCTGCTACCTCTATATATCTATGAGAAGATGCGTGAGGGGTCCTCTAGAATTAAGCTCCGATCCGTCTATCTGGCCGTGCCTGCACGGCGTGCTGTTTATTCTACTCTGCATGCTTCGGTCTGAAAATATGCAGAGACTGATGGTTTGATGCATGTCGCATAGGATCCATATACAGTTGTTCAGGAATTGATCTTTCAATTAATCTCATAAAAAAGAGGATGAAGAAGGAGAAGCATAGATAGACAGATCATAGCACAAATCATCACAAATACGGCGTGCGTAAATCAGAATTAACTACTGTTTTCCTTGCCATGCTAGAACAAGATGCGCAGATCTACTTCTTGGTCAACGGTAGGTGCGGCCGGTCGTGCTGAGGCTACACAGATGGGACATGGGAGGAAGATGCTTTCAAAGTTGAAAGGTACAGCACACCTAGAAAGCCTATGAACATCTCAAACAAAAGAAGATGAAGGCCCGTGTAATATCTCAGGCCCATGACATTGCTCCAACTGTGGGGAAGGCGGGAAGCCCAAGCCCACGAACGTGTGCCGTTCACGCCGCGGCCGGACCGGAGCCAGCCCCGGCCTGCCACTGCCAGGCGGCCAGGCAGCCAGGCCCCACCCCCCAGCTCACTCCTCTACAAGAAGGCGGCCAGTGTCACAGCGTGAGAGGAACCGAAACCCTAGTAGGCCTAGAGCGAAACCAACCGCCGCCGCAAAGCTACCTCGATCGATCGATGGAGATGCCGACGACGCTTGTGATCCGCGAGGAACCCGCCGCCCCCGCCGCCGCTGGGGGGCCAGCAGGGGGAGGCCTCGTCGTGGCCCTGCGGGAGCTGCTCGAGCTTAAGGACCGCCGCATCCAGGCTTCGGCCTTCTTCTTCGCCTGGGGAGGCTCCGTGGTGCTCCACGGGACCGTGCTCAACCGTGCGGATAATCCGGAGCATGTCCTGGCTGGATACGGCCTGTTCGCCATAGGTGCGGCCCTTGGGTTCCTCACGCTCAGCGGCTCTGACCGCCTCGGGCACGCTGCGGCTCGCGCCGAGGAAGTGCTCAAGGGATTCTTCCAGTAGGCGGTAGCTGACCAGCTACATCCGCAGCGAGATAAATCGACGATGCGTGTGTATTAATATTCCCCTCGATCTGTTGTGTTAATAGTTCTAGCGCTTGGGCTCACGAAGTGTATATGTACCTTTTGAGAATATGTGCTTTCGATATATGTTACAAGACATGATACTTGCATATATGGCATGCTGTCAGTTTCCGAGTGGCTAAATGATTGCAATTAAAGTTCTCGTTAGGGTTGTATTTCCAATATCCCTGTGAATATAATGCCCACAAATTGTCCCTTCATTGGACGTTCATGGTGCACTCATGTCCTCAACTTTCATCAGATCTGAATATGTCCTGACTCCTGAGCTGAGAGAGAACTGGGGGAACGAGTAGTTAAGCTGTGATTGTTATACAAAATAATGCTGCCGGTCTTGCGTAAATTATCAATTTCAGTCCCTTTTTGATATATTTTTTCTCATCGCAACAAAGAGATGGTTTTGATTTCTCTTGTTTTTTATGTCCCTACTAAAACAAACACTTGCTGTGCAGATGGTGGCACGCTAGACAGAGGGCGCATACTGGATTCAATGAGACCAGGGCTACAGGACATCAAAACAATTTTTGACTAATCACTGATCAAGTGATCATAACCTCACAACAAACTGCATCGATCTGCATGCCTCTGCATCATCACACAAGCTATATGGCCATGGATCCACATATGCGACTGGAGTCTAGACTCTAGAGACTGCTCGCAGGATGCTAGCCAGTAACCATTTCTAAACTATATATGGTAACAATTACCAATAGTAGCATCTAGCTACTTGTCAAGTTGCACCGCTATTTAGCTGCATATGAAGTAGTGTTACCGATTTAGCTGCAGTAACTTAGGAGTTTCAACTTGACGCATCATACTTTGACAGTGTTTTAATCATGAGTGACAACATATGATAAGTGAAGCATCCAGATGGTGCTGCTTAATTGTAAGTTATTTTCCTAGAGTAGTTCAGCATATGACACTTTAAAAACATAATATAGGATTCACGCTACTCATTGGCGTGGCACCCTGATCCATGTGTATGGAGTGGCAAATTAATTCCTGAGGTGCCAGTCAGAGATGGCAAATAATGTGCATCAACATGTGTTAAAATATAATATATCATTCCTTAGCATGATCATAGAGTTAAAATCTATATTGTAGCATAGATGATTCCACCATTTATTTTTAGGCAGAGAAGTTTTGGCACAATTAAAAGTGAAATAATCTCAAATTTGGTGAAGTATATATGCTTTCAGTGCTAGATGTTGGGATATATATAAGTCTACATATAGACGGGTGTGATAAGTAGACAAAGAACTCCACATTCCTTGTGCTTATGAGTTAGAACTACCGTTTTGTTGTACAAAGTTTTGGTGTCTACTTCCCTCCTCCTTTTGGCCATTCTTCCAGTTGGGCGAGGCAATGAAAACAAATAAACGTATACAGCGAGGGTCCGAGGATGCAAAAGTGATGAATTGAATTGTTATGAACTTGATGGTGTTCATTATTGTGCAATCAATCTATTTTCAAGTGGTCAGATGAAGGGTGCATTGTTGCAAATTTGAGAAAAAAATAAGTTAATAAATGTCTTATATATAGACCCCCTCTGATTCCAAATATAAAAAAAATTGAGTACACTGTTGCATGTAATTAAATATTGCATCCATCTGTTCGGGCATATTAGGAATCAAGAAACTCAATTATGCGTATTTAATGTACAAAAGTTGTACTGATACATTCATATTCCACAGATACACATTTATTTTGTTATAGTTGATGATGTATTATAGGAGACAAATTGATGGTCAAAGAATGAACTTAAGACTTTTTTTAGTTCTAACATTCTCTTCAAAAAGACATAGGTAGTACCACGTATCAACCACTATTGTCTATTGTGCATAGTCAAATATCATTCATCAGGCAGCCTGATATGCATGATTAATCAGAGTTTAGTTTATCATGCTTTTCATTATGTGTTATAGTGGCAAATACTCACTTTTAATTTACAATGATCTCGATGAGCATTCTTATTTTTACAAATTACAAATAATTAAATACCCACATACTAATTAAAGAGATTGACAATAATTATCTTTTTTAGCAGAACAGTAGGATATGATCTTACTGCAAAAGTATATTAGAAAAGGCAATTTTTATATGACAGGAGGAAAAAGTTACTATATAAAGTTATATACTTGTATATTTCCATGATTATATAGCTGCACTATAAGCTAGCTAGCTTTTTTTTGAATGAACGGGCACAAGAATGTGCCTATTTCATTGATATAGCAGAGAAAGGTACAACTATATTAGAGGATCTCCTAGAGACTTTTTAAAACTCATACTCTAAATCATCATTTTAAGAGCCATTTGAATAAAAATTTCTTTCTAATCTTTTGACTCTCCAACAGCTTTTTTATATCTTGTGCACACTCTAAAGAGTTAACCTCGCTCTCCATCTTTGACTTGCGAGAAATCTGGAATAGATGAAGGCTATATTTGGACAACCAATTAAATAAGCTGTTGGAGAGTATTTTTTCACCAAAATCTCTATTCCTAACAATTACGAAGGATATAAAGAGTCTTTTAGAGTTGTTCTTAGAAAGGGCAAAAAAAGAAACGAAAAGTGGTAGGGACAAAACCGAAAGCCTATTCTCTTGCTAACAAAATTACTAAGGTTTTTTTGCGCCCGTTTTACCGGCTGCCGCTTCTGTTTTATCTGTGCAAGAAGTGACAGAGGGCTTGATTCGCGCTTAGCAAAAACCCTTTGCGTTTCTCTCCTTCTAGATCTCCAAAATGATAATTAAGGAGGGTGAGACTTCCTAAGCTAGCTTTTGCATTGCATGAATGTTGGATAATAACAAGTTCTTCCTAAAAGGCCAGCGTATGGTTTGGACTTGAATAGTGAAAACCACGTGTTATTTGGGTGATCCAGATACTTCAAGGTGTACAAGTTCATACTGCATGGTTAGACATTATGTTTTTGAATGAATCAGCACAGGTATATATATATATATATATATATATATATATATATATATATATATATATATATATATATATATATATATATATATATGTGCAATATATGGAACAATCATGGGGATACATTATTCTATATATTTTACATTGTTTTTTTTAGAAAAAATAGAATTGTATTAGATAATTTTTCTAATCTAATTTCTTTGGATGCTAATCCGAAATGGAGGCATGTATAGTTGGAAACAATGGGTTGTTTAAGAATGCTTTGGTTCCATTTTATAAGGTAATTATTGGCTCTGTTTTTTAGATTCAACTTGATCATCTTAAACCATCTCTTGGCAACTCCAGCTTACTTTGCATCATCTACCAACATTAATTATATATTTGCTGTGTGTTTTAGATGTTCTTTTTTACGAAACTGGAGGGGTGCAAGTCCCTACTAAGAGATTAAATTAAACAAAAAAGGAGTCACCAGTTACAAACAACAGTTCAAAGAGACAAAAAAAGAAGAGAAAAAAGTAAATTCTAAAATGCAAATTACAACAATTATGGATCCATAGGTCACAGATTGTTGAGACACAGGCTTGACTTTGCACTAAATTTCAGCAAAGTGATTTCCAATCATCCTTCATGCGCTATTAACTTAGATTTATCAATCTGATCTCGTGAGAAAGTTTTTTCTTTGAAGCTAAAACCATTGTCAAGAATGAATAATAAGTGCTCAGAACATTTGAAAGAATAGAAATAGAGGCATGAATGATAGCAGCTGTGGATAGCTGGGTGGTACCTATTGCATTGTGAATATGTATTCTCTGTACCCCAAAAAAAAAAAACCTACCGCATGCATGGATATACACCAAGACCTAGATTAAAGTGGCAAATCGAAGTACTAACTTGGAGCTTCCGGCAATATATATATACTTCTGGTGTTTATGGCTAGGTTTTAGCCGTGCACAAATAACTCATCAGAACACCGTACCACTGTGATGTATAGTTAAATCTCATGATATCAATGCAACAATCATCAATGAAGTCATCACATGATTACATATATCGATGATGTTATTAACTCGTTATTCCATATATCATTATCCCTCTATGTCTTTATGACCATGTTCAAATCATCATGCATGTAAAAGTGTAGCTTTGTTATCTATCTTTCAACAGACACCTAAATTCACACATTGTTGTGGTGCCATGCTTTATTGTGAATGATGCATCTGATATAACACAATGCATCTAGGCATCTTAGGCCCTGTTTGGTTGGGCTTTTGGCCCCAAAAGCCAAAAGCCCAACCAAAGGGGCTGTTTTTGGGGGGTGCTTTTTCAGAAGCAGCTGCTTTTTCGTAGTTCATTTTTGAAAGCTGGTTTGACCCTGCTTTTGGCTTTTGGCTTTCTGCTTTTCGAAATTGGTGGAATAAAAAGCTCTTCCATAGTTGTTTCAAGAGAGATAAAGATAAAAGGTATATTTTATACTTGTTTAATCAAACAGCTTTCAGCTTTTCTACAGCTCATAGCCCACAGCAGCTTTTCCACAGCTCACAGCCCACAGCAGCTTTCTCCCACAGCCACAACCAAACAGGGCCTTAATTTATTAACTAGTTAGAGTCTTGTGATGGTAGTGTTTATCATGATGGCATGAGTGTCAAACACGTACACGTAGTATGCACATACTGATCAAACAAACTTGAAATGTCCCATCTAGCTTATGCTTCCCTTCCTCTTCGTATATGTATATATGCCACTATGATAGAGTGTCTAGTGAGTGTTGATCGCTACTAGAAGACAGACCTTTCATCCCGCCTCTATTTTTATCTTTAGTCCCGGTATTTTTGTGTTCGGGACTAAAGGGACTATTAGTCCCGGTTGTATCCTCAAACAAGGATACAAAGTTCCTGCCCCCAGTGTGTGGCGACGGCAGGCAACAATTAGTCCCGGTTATAGCCCAGAGCCGGGACTAAAGGTCATCCTTTAGTCCCGGCTGGAGCAGTCTCGGCT